TCCTTCCTTCCTTCCTTCCTTCCTTCCTTCCTTCCTTCCTTCCTTCCCCATCCCTCCTTTCTTCCACCCTCTCTTTCTCCCTTCCCTTCCATCTCTTTCCTTCCTTACCCGTCCTCATCCATCTCTTTTCTCACTCCCTCCCTCCCTCCAGCACTCTCCTATTTTTCCCTCTTTTTCTGGTTCTTCATTCAGCTATTGTGTCAGGGTTCCGGCGATTGCCCTAATTAAATCATGAGCCTCAAGCCAACCTTCAAAAGAATTCAGCAGATTTGTTAGGAGCAGCACGCCGGCATTCTCCTAAATGAAGCCAACTCTGGCCTACGTAACTGACAGTCACCTGTGGCCCAGTTTCCCCCTCTCCCCCCGGGTGTGTCATAAATCAGATTCTCCAATGAAGGGATTTCATGGGCAGAAGATCCGGTAGCCTAGGCTACACTCTTTGTAAGATAAGGGCGGTTCTGTGGCTTTTGATGGTGGGTGCGAGTTCCTCTCTTTGTGGTGTGGTTGCGAGCCGGTCAATGTGGTGCCAATGGGTTGTGTTAGGTCTTCTACTTTGCCCCCAGGCCATGTCCAAACTGGGTCTGCGGCAGATCCATGGTGTGACCAGGATAACCATCCGCAAATCCAAGAATATCTTGTTTGTCATCACCAAGCCGGATGTCTTCAAAAGTCCTGCTTCTGACATCTACATTGTCTTTGGGGAAGCCAAGGTGAGCTACGAGGGTGGAGGAGGAGCTGGGAAGGGTCTGGGGTCTTGGGTTTGTGTGTGTGTGGGGGGGAGAAGTCCGTTGGTGAGTGAAGAGGGAGGGAGGAGAGGGACGGAGGAAAGAAAGAAAGATAGGAAAAGGGTGGATGGATGGAAGGAAGGAAGGAAAAAGGGAAGGAAGGAGAAAGGAAAATAGGAAAGAAGGGAATCAGGAAGAGATAGGAAGGAAGAGAAAAGGATGGAAGGAATGTAGGAAAGAAAGGAAGAAGGAAGGAGAGATAGGAGAAGGACGGAAGGAAGGAGAGAGGAGAGAAGGAAAGAAGGAAAAAGGGAAGGAGGAAGGAACAAAAGGAGATAGGGATCTTGAGGGGGGAGAGGAGTTTGTTGGTGACTGAAGAGGGAGGGAGAGGAAAAGGGTGGAAGGAAGGAAGGAGAAAGGAAAGTAGGGAAGAAGGGAAGAAGGAAGGAGAGATAGGAGGAAGAAGGAAGGAAGGAGAGCCCGGGGAGGGTGAAAATGGCCATTGCGTGGCACCCAACCAGCAACCGGGCAGAGAACCGATTGCTCAATTTTTTTGAAGCCCCACCCCTGGATTTAGGGAAGTGGACTAATTCCTGGTTGAAGGACCTGGCTTCTTGATAGAACATGGCCAAAGGTCTTGACTGGTTGGAGAACGTCTCCTTAGGGGGTCTTCTCTTAGAAAACGGGCCAAAGCCAGGTCCTCTTTCTCCTCCAGAACGGAGGCAGAGCTTCTCCTGGCAATGGGCTAGATCTGGCATTGCCCAAGTCTCCTTTTCTTCCTCCCGAAGATCTTAAGGTCCTCCATTGCTTTCTTTTTTCAGATCGAAGACCTCTCCCAACAGGTCCACAAAGCGGCCGCGGAGAAGTTCAAGGTTCCTGTGGAGCACTCGCCCTTGATCACCGAAGCGGCGCCGGCCCTCACCATCAAGGAGGAGAGTGAGGAAGAGGAGGAGGTAAAGGAGGCCAACCTTCTCCAGACGTGAGCGGGAGAGGGTAATAGAAAGGAGGACAGGCCAAGAATGAACGAGAACCTTCAGGATGTCTTCCTTGGAGGTCCACCTAGGACAAGAGTGGGAACCTGTGGCTCTAGAGCCGCATGTGGCTCTTTCTTTCCTCTGCTGCTGCTTCCTGTCCCACAATTGATAGGGCTTCCAGTTAGGAACTTTGTGGCTATTTGAGTGTTTTAAGGTTGCCGACTCCTGACCTAGGAGGTCCAAGGGGAGTAGACTTCTCGGGACGCAGGCCATTAACCCGTGGAGCCCAATTCTTGCTCGGAATATCTTGCTTTGACCAAGAATGGTGACTCTACTCTGGTCATCTCCATCTTCAGGACCACAAGAGTTGTCCACATTGGATGGTGCCAATGTTGGTGGCACCTCCAACGTCGATGCTGTGGACAGGTGTCTCTCAGATGTGTAGGGACTACACTCACTAGAAGGACCTAACATTACTCGGGCTGGGAGGGACAGAGGAGGACATTTAGTCCAACCTCAGGAGACACCATACCATCTATCTTCTGAGCTTCATGTTGATGGACCACAAGTCCATCTCAATGGGAAAACCTCTTGATAGCTTCTCCAGCCAACTCCATGTTCTTTCTGAAGAT